TCGCTGGAGGGGTCCCCCACCGAAGGGGGCAATGGGGGACCCCGCGCCAGCGTGGGGTTCTTCTGTAAGGTACGGCGGGGACGGCGCTGGGGACAGCGGGGACATCGCTGGGGATGGTGGGGACATTGGTGGGGACACTGGGGACACTGGGGATGGTGCTGGGGACAGCGGGGACATCGCTGGGGATGGTGGGGACATTGGTGGGGACACTGGGGACAACCGGGGACGGCGCTGGGGACATTGGGGACATTGCTGGGGATGGTGCTGGGGACATTGGGGACATCGCTGGGGATGGTGGGGACATTGGTGGGGACACTGGGGACGGTGCTGGGGACACTGGGGACATTGCTGGGGATGGTGGGGACATTGGTGGGGACACTGGGGACACCGGGGATGGCACTGGGGACAGCGGGGACATTGGTGGGGACATTGGGGACACCGGGGACGGTGCTGGGGACATTGGGGACATTGCTGGGGATGGTGCTGGGGACATTGGGGACATCGCTGGGGATGGTGGGGACATTGGTGGTGACACTGGGGACAGTACTGGGGACATTGGGGACACTGGGGACAGTGCTGGGGACATTGGGGACATCGCTGGGGATGGTGGGGACATTGGTGGGGACACTGGGGACACCGGGGATGGCACTGGGGACAGCGGGGACATTGCTGGGGATGGTGGGGACATTGGTGGGGACACTGGGGACGGTGCTGGGGACATTGGGGACATTGCTGGGGATGGTGGGGACATTGGTGGGGACATTGGTGGGGACATTGGTGGGGACATTGGTGGGGACATTGGGGACACTGGGGACGGCTTTGGGGACAGCGGGGACATCGTTGGGGATGTTGGGGACATTGGTGGGGACACTGGGGACATCATTGCTGGGGATGGTGGGGACATTGGTGGGGACATTGGGGACATCACTGGGGATGGTGCTGGGGACATTGGGGACATTGCTGGGGATGTTGGGGACATTGGTGGGGACATTGGGGACACCGGGGACGGCGCTGGGGACAGCGGGGACATTGGTGGGGACAGCGGGGAGGGCACAGAGGTGGCACTGGGGTGGCATTGGGGGAGGGGGTGGTGGCATTGGGAAAGACGACGTGGTGGCATTGGGACAAGGGAGATGGTGGCATTGGGACAGGAGACTTGGTGGCACTGGGACTGGGGAGGTGGTGGCATTGGGACAGGAGACTTGGTGGCACTGGGACTGGGGAGGTGGTGGCACTGGGATGAGGGACAAGGTGGCACTGGGATGGCGGCAGTGGTGGCACAGGAACACAGAGGGGGT